TATTTCTCCTATATTTTGGAGCTTTTCAGGGTTTCCCGTCTATATTTAACTTAATTTAATAGGAGAAAATAGGTTTGGCTATTGTCCGGTTTACAATCCTCCCCGGGGCTTTTAAACAGCCGTAGAGGTTTTATCCCTTGTTTCCTGTTTAGGATTGGGTGTCCGGTTCCTTCTAATGTCTACTTCAGGTCTATACTAACAATTGGCCTTTCCTATTCTAGGCAAAGTAACCCACTACCTTGAGTGGGTCTTGGGTCTTGTATTGGTTGAATATTAGTAAAAAATGTTTAATGTCTGAGTACACACACACACACACACACACACACACACATATATATATATATATATATATATATATTATTCACATTTAAGTATTTGAGATGCTGTATGTATATATTATGATATCAGGTTTTGGGTAAGGTGTAAATAATGATAAGATTGTGTCTAATACAGATTAAAACAAAGACAGTTGAGCAATACCAAGTTGTTGTAGTTTTGGGAGTATCCATGAATGATCGTCATATGGCGCGAAAATAGTTTATTCAGTTTATTTCAACTTACATTTCATTTCAACTTTCACTCGCTTCAGATTTCATTCAATTTATTTCAGCTTGTGGCTGTTAAAAAAAAACTTGTTTTTAAAATCATTTTTTCTCGTAATCTTTTATTAACGTACATCTTTGTGGAAGGATTCATTTTTTTGTTTGCTTCGAATATTTTTCCCATTTCTTATTTATGACGTTTAAAATATTTAAAATGCCAATATATCTAATTTCATATGTACAGATTCAGTTATATACATGCATACATACATACATACATACATACATACATATATATATATATATATATATATATATATATATATATAAAGTTGCATTTACTCAGTGATAAACAACTTAATTGTCTTTGTTGCATCATTGTTTGGCTCTGTGAACGATGTGGGAGGGTACCCCATGTCTGTTGCAGTCAGTCAGGTGGTTCATGGCAGAAGAACATCATTTATTGGGCTTCGAGGATGATTCTCCAGAAATCAAAGAAAACGTTTTAATAATTTATTTGACTTTTCATTGAACACACGAACTTTCTGAAAAAATTTTTATAATTATAGAATCATTTATTCCTGAAGAAAACTATCCATTCTAGTTTACATCTTTCACTGTTTTGCTTTGGAGAAAATAGTCATCAATCGAGACAAGCGCTGATTAACTCTATAGCACTCAACCTTTTCAATGTGCTTTCAAAAGAATAAAAAAAAACATTTTTCTTTGAACATATTAAAACTGAACATATTAAATTTGAATATATTAAAATTGAATATATTGAAAATAATTTAAATTTTAAACTGATATTTGAATACAGATATCTGAAACAACAAACATTTGAATTCCTTTTCCATATCGCCGAAGCCAAGATTTAAATGATTTTTAATTATCTTCCAAATGATTCTAGCTCTTTTTTCAACAACGTTGTTTACTTTGTTTTACGTCTGGTCTCTTTAGATAAAAGCTGTACTAATCTATTTTTATTAATTAGATTTTAGTTCAATCAAACGCACGATTGCACACCATTTTGTATCTTTTATCAGTAATGACCGCATAAAACTAATTTTAGTCGTTTCATGGAGCATTGAATTTATAGGAATTTCGGTAGCAACAGAAAATTAAAGCCTGTATTATCTTACATAATAATGAACTGTTATTTTTTTTCTATGCCCATAATTTCTGTCACGCGAAAACAAACAGATATGTAAAATTAAAAAATAGATTTTGCCCTGATCTGTACGTCCAATTTGTAGATAAAGAATCAAATGGCATAGTCATTAGGCTAGCATAAAATTAACTTGGTTTGCGATAAAATTAACTTACAAATACTAAGATAGTCGGAGTACGCAGATACGAGTCAGAAACACAGATGGACACAATTTTTATCTTAATTAGTACGGACATAAATTGTACTGAGCCGAGACAGAAATTTCGATCCATAAGTAAATAATCCTGTCATTTTTACATGTAATATGCTCTAGCATTTTTATAATTTGCGTGTGACAGTTCTTAGAGTTGCTTTAAGCATTTATTTATTTCTCTTGAATATACTGGAGTTTTCACCAGCGAATCATTTTGTTATATTTAATAAAAAGCTGTCTAATTATTAGTTCTATTAACATTTTAACGTTAAAGAGTGTTTCAAGACTTCATGACTGGGCATTGAAAACTTCCTGTTAAATGTCTTGTTACTAAACTATTCTTGCAATAATTTGAAATTTAATTCGTTTTATTTACAATGTTTCAATCAAAAGCTTTTATTCCGTGAAATAATTTATATTTCATTGAAAATACTTTCTTATATATTTATTGTCTAAAATAAACAAAACCTTTCAAGAAATATCAAGTCTGTTAATCTTTTGTAAAGCCATACGTAGATTTAAATAATGAAGACACTCTAACGCCGTATAAATATAATCAATAACATATGATGAAATACACTTAAGACTTAATTCATCGCAGTTATACTTGTTTAAAAATGAGGTCCTAGATTGGATTCTTTCGTTAGACAAAGTTTAGAAATGTCAGCTAAAATAAAGTAAATATTTTTAAACAATGAGATATCTATATTTTCAATTTAAATATTATATTCATCATAGATTTAAAAGTGAATATGTTGCGTAGAGTGTCATAAGCAAGGAAGAACATTTGATTAAGTACCTTAAGCGCGACATCTGGATAGGTGGCGCTGCATTTGTATCCGGTAGAAACACTTTTAGGACTTTTATTTTGTTTATTTTAATTTACATGAAACATGCTTACGCCTATAAACCAAAATGTAACATTGACTTATTTGACTTATTTCTATAAAGGAAATTCAGATATTTCATATTAGTCTTTATTCGCTTTACTCGTTCGTAGAGATCGTAATGAGTAAATGTAATGCCAACCGCTAGTGAATGTTTTCTTGGGCAAAACGTTTACTATTATTTCTATTTTTATCATTTTATATATCGATATATTACGATTAATTTTTACGCTTTTATATAAGAAATTTGAATCTCTTTACGTCAATATAAAGATTGTAAATATCCGTTCAAATTGTCTCCGAATTTGAATATTTGACAATGTGTGCTTATTAACCATAGTAAAACCAAATAGATTAATAATAGGAAAATCATTAAAATATTTTGGTTATTTTAAGTGTTAATGATTAATGACAAAATAAAAAAAATGATTATATCGAAATAATGAAGTTTACATGTTGTTAATTTCTAAACATTCTGGAACGAATAATCATGAACATTGAATTGCTTACTGAAGACTAAAAACTGGAAAATGTTTGGTCGGGTTTGCTTTGTTGAATGCTACCAGTCCAGCACCGAAACTTCAGTATTCCGTTTGAACATAATACAAAAACGCGAAAGAATTATAGAAATTTATAAGAACATTTAAAATTAGTAGGCTTTAGCGTGACTTCACTGAAAAGCTAAAGTATTTATATAGTCATGACTGATACTAACGTATTTGCATGATTATTTTGTAGTTAGAAAGTATAATATTAAAATAGCCAGGGAAAATTATTTTTCCTGATAGCAATTAATACTTGTGTCCAAAATTGTTAAGAAATTAGTATGTTTTTATATGTGTCAGATCCAATTAGGAGCGGTACTAAAAAGTCCCCGGTCCGACCAAAAAGTGATTTCAAAATGAAATCTTGTTTATTTGAACAGATTTTGGGAAGTGAGTTATACCGAGCAGCTTTTAGCACTTCCTCATTATCATATCTTTAGTTTGTATTAAATCCTATAATCATTTGGCAATTAACATGGCACCAAAATGATTATGCTATTTATAATTAAACACAAGACAAATGATGTCGTATTTTATAAATCAATATAAATTATTTAATTGTTGACCAGAAGATTGGTACTTTGTGATTTATATTTATTTATCCTCAAAAAATGTTAATTTTGTTTCTTAGAAATATTAGGCTTTTCATCATCATCATCATCCTCATCATCCTCCTCCTCATCTTTCGGCCTCACTATGGTTGGTTGGAACTCATCCCTTTCCACAATCCTGTATTGCTGTCTTCAGATCCCCAATGTCTAACACTGAGTTCCAAGCTATGGTGTTTGGGAAACTCAATTTTTGTGAGAAGACACTTCCAGAAGGATGCCATAAAAGTATTAGACTTTTAAAAGGATGATGAATGTGATATTTGTTTGTGGAAATAAAAAACAAAAAGCTAACTTTAAAAATATGTCCTAATTGTAAACTCAGACGACTGAATAAAGAAATATTAATGTGAAATAAACTACAAATACGATTCAGCCAAAAGACTAGTCGTTTATATCACTTATAAAACTTTTAAAACTATGAATTCAAAAACCTAGAAAACTTTAGAATAACGTACATAATAAAATGATTAAATGAATTTAATGCCGGACAATACCATTGATAAAATGCATATAAAATTCTGTCAAATTTATTAAAAGATTATTATGCTCATTAAATTTAATGTTTTAAATTCATATAAAATGATGCAAAGTTTGAATATGTTTGGAACATAAAATACAGTAAGTTCTGCATTGGCCGGCTAAATAGACAACGACTAAGCTGATTGGACAAATTACAGTATATATAAATGCTTACTTTACAAGACACAATATTTATATGTAGATACGTTAAACTTTATATTTTGGGTTTAGATGGATTTCTACGTAAAAAATATCAACGTAGACTGTAAGGAAAAGTTGTTAACCTATATTGATGGAAACAAATACGCCCAAATAAATTATTTTAATAAACAGAGGTTAAAAAAAAAGAAAAATAAATAAAAGACAAAAATGAACTTTGAATGCAAATGAATAAAAAAAATTATCAATTTTAAATTGAACATGATTTAACAAAGTAGTAAAGGAAATGTATATAACATTCATAAAATTAATTAAAATGGAATTGAGAAATGATGAATGAAGATGACAATATATAAAACGGAATTTAATTTAC